TGGCCTTTAAGTGAGGGATGTTATTTTGTCTCATTGACATCGCACATTTCAGAATATATGCACCTTGTTCCTCATCCATTGACTCCTCCATATGCTCGAGTGGATTAATTCTCGTGTCACCAACCAAACAAAATATTGAAAAGTGTTTAGAATGAGGCCCAATGAACTCCAACTCTAGAATCGCTTCACTTTTGACATTCTCACTTTTGCACACTTCGTCAACCTTGACATCATTAATAATATTTTGGTTGAATAGTTGGAATTTCTTTTTTCGCTCCACAAGCTGGCCAATATCCATAAAAATTGGTTGCAGGGCATCAGACGCCTCAACTTTTTATTCAATTGAGCTTGCAAGTCATGGATATCTGAGCCAAATTGGTCTATCTCTTGCTTGAGCTCAGTTCTTTCGTCTATCAGCTGTTTTGCCATATTTGAAAGACCGCTACATAGAACCCCATGAAATTTTACCAGTTGAGATTGTTCCTTTAGCCAAATATTGGCTCACAATATTTGCTTCTTCAAAGTTATGTTCTTGTGGGAATTCGCTCTCTTCATCGAGTTGAGGTTCTTCTTGAAAATTGGTCATTAATTCGTACATTCTAGCCTGCAGTCTTTTGATCACTAAGGCAGTCTTTTTGTGAATTTCATCTTGTTGCTCAGCTACTTGCCTCATCATGTCCATAATACGAGCAACACGTTCCATATCGTGTACTTCATTGCTCTTATCAAACTCATAAACATTATTAGAAACATCATAACAAGAGCTCTAAGAAGGATAATAAGAATTAGGACAACCATCCCAATGGACACCTTGACTACCACACACATTATAAATATTCCACTTATAAGATTGAGATTCACAATTTTGCCACAAGTGTGGTCCTCCACAATATGTACAAGGATACCCAAGTAAGAATAACCAACATTCAACCAATCATCATTCCAAGATGTCATATCAACAAAGATAGTAAAACACTAGGGTTTGAAGTTGCCACAAGTGTGATTTGCTACCAATATTGGCTCACAATATTTGCTTCTTCAAAGTTGCCACAAGTGTGATTTGCTACCGTTCATTGTGTTTGTTGAAACACTAGGGTTTGAAGTACCTCTATGCCAGCGTGTAATCTGTTCTATCATGGGAGGAAATAATCCACAACCTCAGATACTGGGAGGGGATTAAGTTCCTTAGGGAAACACTGTGAATTCAGTGGGCTCGGTTAAATTCTGTTTCTTCTATATTTCTATTTTTACGTTACTTTATTTCTAGAATTATATTGCAAATACATATTACTAACAACCAGAGGCGGACCCAGATTTTTTACACGACGGGGGAACATTATTCTGCTCAACTAGTGCCCCCTAAAGGGTTTTAGTGTTCAGGGTGCCAACTGTTTAAAATTAACCATTTTCAGGGTATATACGTATATATATATTTCATCCGAAGTTTACGGGATCCGGTGACCCCTCACCCATACACACGGGTCCTCCTCTGCCAACAACTGCTTCTTTTTTTCCTCTTTTCTTGAGCTGAAGATATATTAGAAACAACCTCTCTACCTTCACCAGATAAGGATAAGGTCTGCGTGCATACTATTCTTCCCATATCCCACTTGTAGGATTATATTTGGTTTGTTGTCATAGTATTTTTCATTGTGTTGGAAAACCTTTGTTCCTAGTGAATAAGTACAAATTTAGCCTATTTTTGTAATGAAACAGATATATTTTACCCATTATTAATAAAATTAAATCCAGATCATTTCTTAAAGTCCAGGAGCCCATTTTGAACCTTTTCCCAGTAAAAAATAAAATAAAATAAAAATGCATGATACAATTCAAGGGCCAAAGTTCCTAAATATCACTGTGACTCCAGAAAAAATTATACATTTTGTAAAAGACTATAGTATAATCTATTAAACGATGGGAGTATCACCGACAGGGGACCAAAAAAAGGAAAATTATTACTGTAACTCATTTTTTTGGACTATTCATAAGATAAATAAAAGTAGTTCTATAGTCAATATAGTATGGTACGTCACGTGATTGATTAAATGGTCACATGACAGAGGAGGCAAAGGAGAGTGCTCACTCTGCTATTGTTATTTTTTTCTATTTCTCAGATCTTGTTTTTTCTTTAATAGCTAGAATTAAGAAATCGGAGTGATACTCTTCTTATTGATTTATTCAATAAATTCCAAAGAAGTTCCCATCAACAAAGGGGGAATCATGATATTATAATTGGGACCACTGTATTCCCTGCCCATATTGCGATATTGAAGCCTTCATTTTCTCTACGTCTATCTTGGTAGGAGGACCTTAACTAATACACATTAAATTTTTCTATAAAGTACTACAACAATTACATAAAATGAACATTAACCTAAAATCATTAATGAAAAGAACGGTAAATTTTCTAAGGCATTTGGAATTGCAACCACGAACTTAATTATGCCGTCTGCTAGGAATGGTACATAAGTACTACCATCTTATTTCATGGGATATGATGTGAAATAAGAATACGTGTGTTTAGAAAGGAGGGAAGTAAACTATTTAAACATAAAAATATCATTTCAAAGTAAATAATTCATGTATAACAATTCTTTCATTATTAATCACCACATAAATAATTCATCCGTTATAATCCTTGCATATCTAGCAAGTGAACAATAGAGACCCCGTCAATACAGTGAAAAATGATCTAGAAAATAACGGTTATAGGTAAAACATTTTACAAAATTATAATGTTTTCATTAGAAAGAGTTTTGCATCATATACAAAGGATTGAAAATTTAAGTTAAGAGATTATTTCAGAGAGATCGACTTGGAACGAAAAGCAAACATGTTAGTATTCTGAAATTGCAGTGGTCGCACCATCGCACATGACCTCAATAATGCACTAAAATAGTAGTAGTAAGTAATACGCTGAATCTATATTCTCCGCTTTGTCTATCCGCTATCACATCCCGTAATTGTTTATATGTGTATCTTAATTAGATCAAAATTTTTATTATAAAACTTAGGTGTATACTTCATCCCTATCTACTTCAGTTTGTTGTGTGTATTCTAATCCCATGGCTTATTCAATGTTTATTTTCTTTTCGCATTGCTATTCGTGAATCGAGAGATTTAGTGACAGACTAAGCTATAATAATATGCTCATTAGTTCAGTAACAAATATAGAATTTAGAGGATGATCAGGATATCGCGTAAATAATATTGTTCGAACTTTGTCTTGAAGATGTTCATAAACAAATCAGATAATATTATTTCAAGCCATTCTTTTTGGTTGTTGATTTAGCGTACTCCAAATAAAATAGACATGTAATATTCTTTCTCAAAAGCCTGCACCTTGAGTTATTAGGATTTAGGAAGTTACGAAAAATAAAAAAAGACGTTAAGAGAAAGAAACAGAGTAAAAACTACATATAACATATGTCATGATAATCAGTGGCGGACCCAGGATTTTGTGCAAGCGGGTTCAATCTTGAAATACATAACTTTAGTCGTAAAATAGTAGTTGTGAAGTGGGTTCAAATAAAATATTTATACAAAATTTACGCAACTTTAATCATAATTTATACATATACACAATATTATTTTTTGATGAAGCGAGTTCAGTTGAACCCGCTGGCCACCACTTGAGTGTAGGACCGTAAAAATCAGGTATCATACGGAAGCTAGCAAAGCAAACCTTGAGCGACGATAAATCATACAACAAAGGAGAAATATACCAAAAAAGACATAAACATTTAACGTGGTTCGGTCAACTGACCTACGTCCACCGCGGAGATAAGCAATCCACTATTTAAAAAGAGAGTACAAAATATCGAGAGAACAACCTCACGAAGAGGCAAACACAAGTGACACACTGACACTTGTCCCGTAAAGTTCTCCCCCTAAACACGACTCTTTACCCCATATGGCTACATTGTGGATGCTACTGAATGAGAAAGAAAGATCCTCAATTTATAGAAGTTCAAACCTTTTCCTACAAAAAAAGGACTAGCCAAGTATAAGAGAATTATAATTTCCTTCTACAAAAAGGAAAACCCAATTAAGGTAATTATATTGCCCTTTCCTTCAACAAATAGAAAAACCAAATATGATAAGAAAGTTATGGCAAACACCTAACATTTAGTCCGCCGCTGATGATAATTATCCTCACCTATGTGTTTTTAACTTTAGAATTTTGACCAAATAATATACTCATAATCAGTCCCATGCAGACTCACTGCGATATTGACAATGGATTAAAGCAAAATTTCTATTCCTTACTAATTTACCTTCCAAGAATTAACTCAATTGATATTTTCAAATAAAAATTGTTTTTAGCTTATAAAAGTTTTCCCCTATTTGCTTTTAAAATATGATTTATTTAATTTAATTAAGCTGTATTAGCAAAATTCACTAGTGAGCAATTAAAAAAGAAAGCTTAAAAAGGAGCGGATTACTCGAAACTAGAACACCAAAACGAGAAAGACGCTCAAAGAACACGGGCATGACTCGTGATTATCTCACATTAGATATGCAAACCTAGGCTTTTTCTCTTGATTTATGTATTATATATATATATATATATATATAAGACACACTAAAATTGCAAACAAACTTTTACACTATGAGAGTAAGTTGACTTATAACAACACACGTAATTTTTTATATCAAGCATGAAATGATAATCTGAAAAATTTAAATAACAATTTATTATTGGTTAAATTGCAATAATAGTCTAAAATTCTTTATACTATGCTTTCCCAATTTATGTAGTCTTATTTGGTTGGGCATGAATTTTAAGAGAGAAAAAAAAAGAGATACTGAAATATAAGGGTTATAAATCATCGAATTTTATAGTTAAATTATTTTTAAATATAAAATATATATTATTATTAATAAACTAAAAAGAAAATGTTCCACGTAATATATATATATATATATATATATATATATATATATATATATATATATATATATATATCCTAACACTCACGTAGATTTGCCCCCCTCCTGTCTTCCTTCACTTCCAATTTATACAGCACATTAAACTCCTATATATCAATCCCTCACTTCCCATCCCCTTACTTCACTCACACTCACACTGGCACACATTAGAGAAGCGAAGAGTGAGAGGCATAAAAATCCTACACAAACATTTTCTCCATAGCCAAAAAACAAAAAACATTTTAATTTGTGTTGTAAATAATATGGATGTGTACGGAGCAGAAGTGTTTAGGATTGATGATCTGCTTGACTTCTCGAATGACGAGATCTTCTCCTCCTCCACCGGCAGTTCCTCTAATAAGACTACCAGCTTTGACCTGAACCATCAATATCATCCGCCTCACTCCGACAACATTAATCCCGCCGCGGGGAGCTATTACAATCCTCTTATTCCCAATTGCGCCGATTTCACCGACAAACTATGCGTTCCTGTAAGTACTGCTACACGCTTAAACAAATTAACGTGTCTTTAGTTATCAAATTTTACTACTAGTTTGATTTTGATGACGATTAGCAGATGAAATTGATCACGAAAATATTTCATAAAAAGATGCATCTGTTGTAAAGATAAGATCAGTGGTGAAGGGGTGTTTATGATGCTTTATAAGGAGGCGACGATTTGCAAAAAGGAGGACTGACTAAACTTTCAGTGAGAGAGTGAAAAGCAAAGTGAATTCCAAAATTTAAAATGAGAGTTTGAGGAAATTTTCATATTAATTATTAGTTGTAGAATTGACGATGCTTTGCTTGTATATTGAGAGTATTTGTCATTAACTCGATATTAAAATTGACAAGGCGTTCTTAATTAAGAAAATGCTTGTAAGCTGGTTTCATCAGCTTTTAAGGAAATTCAAACACCCTCGACCCGTGGTTTCAAATAATACTCTAAGATAGTAGTAGTTCATTTGTGCCTGAAATCCTTGCCAGTTTTCATACTTTTTTAATTTATTTGTTTCTTTTCAATCAACCATCTTGCTCGAGAAATATATTCTAATTAATATTGTTTTTTTTTTCCCTTGATTTTGAAGAGCGATGATGTAGCGGAGTTGGAATGGCTATCGAATTTCGTGGAAGACTCATCCAATAATTACCCTTCAAACTCCTTAACAGGAACAATAAACCTCAATTCCAATAACACTTCATTTCACAGCAAATCAAGAAGCAAACGTTCACGTGCAACCACTGCAAATACTAGTTGGGCTTCCTCACTCCAAAAGGCCCACCAAAAGCCCACAGTCGATGAGCCCAATCAAAGTCCACAATACAACAACAATAACAACACTATGAAGCCCAAAAAAGAGAGCAGCAGAGAAAGGTCATCTGAAATGTCAGATATACCCCGAAAGTGCACACACTGTGCATCAGAGAAAACGCCACAGTGGCGGACTGGGCCATTGGGCCCAAAGACGCTGTGCAATGCTTGTGGAGTTCGATACAAATCGGGCCGGTTGGTCCCTGAATATCGACCCGCTGCGAGCCCAACTTTCGTGCTGACCCAACATTCGAACTCTCACCGGAAAGTTATGGAACTCAGGCGACAAAAAGAGGTTCAACAACAGTCACAACAACAAGGAATGTACGGACATCACTTTCAGGTCTGCTGACGTCATTGTTCGCAACATGTCACGCCATCAAGCAAATGTTGATTTTTTCTTTTGTTGGTTAAAGACCTTTATCGTCTTACTGAATTTTTTTGGATATTTTAAGAAATTTGAGAATTATCACTTTTTTACCATTTGAGTATTTTAATGTTTTATTTATTACTCCCTTCGTTTCGCTTTATGGCATTTGGAGTACAAAAATCAAATTAACTAATTTTCCTTTGAATTCGAACATAAATTGTTTAAAATAAAATTTGCATATTTAAAAACAACGTAAAATGCACTATAAGTCATTTCAAAATATTTAAAATATATTTATAAATTGTGACCAAAAACAAAAAAAAATTGACTCTCGAAATAGTAAGTAAAACATAAAATGAAGACTGAGATTTCTATCGATACATTGATTGCGTAAAAAAAATATTTGACGATCAAATTCATTAAAATGTAATTCTAGGTAATGCTATGTAGTAAGCAATTGTTGGTGACTTAAAGTAAATGTCAAGGAACTTATTGTAATATATTCCCCGCACCACAATAAGTGATTTTTTGGCCTTAAATACACCCTTTAAGAAAATACTACCCCTAAAGAAATAAGAAGATATTTTGACTAAATTATTTTAAGTAAAATTTGCATATTGCTAACTTGACGCATTGAGATATGTAAATAAGGGTTAATTTCGGAAAAATAAATTTAATTCCTTCTTGATTATATATGAGGACGAACAAAAATTAAGAGGTCAAAAAGTAACTTATTATGAATCTGAGGAAGTATTAAATTACATTAATAATGTAAAGTTCCTTTAAGTTGTCACCATATCAATCCATTTATTAAAGTGTTGCAATTACCAATTGGGCGCAAAAGAGAGCGGGGAATGCAGTTGCACGTGATAGGATAAGATTTTTAACTTTCAGCGATAGTAGTAGTGCACTAGCGTAGACGTGAGGAGAGGAAGGGAAACGTTGCATTAAGCCATGTAAAATTTATTACTGTAGCAGATCACATGTATGGTAAGGGGCCAATAGCGACATAGAAGGGAAGAAGTGAATGCGTTAAATTTGCTCCATTTCGTAGTTTTACTCATTAATGGTGGGATGGTTGAAATTTTTTCACTTTTAATAGAGATTTTCGCTTTGAATCTTGGAATGTAAAACATGTTCGTAAAGAGTACTTTACTTCTTTTAGTGGTCTACATACGAATCCGAACTAATTGAGTCATTGGTGTTGGGTTAAAACGGTTCAATGACACTCTTAACATGGTGTGATATGTCTATTTTGGATAGGCTCCTAATCTTTTCAGCTACCAAAATACATATTGCACGTGAAGGATCCCAAGACACTAATGAAGATAGTGATCAAAATCAAAATGATCATCATAGTGTAAATGTTATGGATGTTCCAGTTGATGAAGTTGTGGTTGATCTGCAACCAATTCCTACTCAAGTAACTATTTCAAATGCTCCTGTTACCTCTCTTAGATGATCTACAAGGGAGAAACAAAAATCATGCGATATTCTCTCGATGAGTATGTACTTTTGACTGATGTTGGAGAACCTGAGAGATATGATTAAGCCATGCAAGATACTTACAAAGATCAGTGGATATAATTTATGAAAGATGAGATGAAGTCACTCCATGAGAATGACACATATGAATTAGTAAAATTGCCGTAAAGATAAGAGACCTTTATCAAATAAATAAATGTTCAGAATAAAGCAAGATCAACATACCTCTGCGCCTAGGTACACGGCGAGATTAGTTGTTAAATATTTTTGCCAGAAGAAGGGAGTTGACTTTGATAAAATTTTCTTCCTGTTGTGAAGATGTCTTCTATTTGTATGGTTCTAAGCTTAGTCGTGAGTCTAGATTTAGAGGTTGAGCAGATGGATGTAAATACTATTTTTCTTTGTGATGATTTTGGATGAGGAGATGTATATGGAGCAATGATCATGTCCAATTCACACTCAAATAACAAGTATGAAACGGTCGTTACAATTATAAAACCCAACACGAGTCGAGGTCGAATTTCACAGGGGGTTTAGATCGATACTAAGGTAGATACTCAAGAAGAGAACATGTAATATCTATATTAGACTTTCAAACAACAATGGGTAATTGTTATCTAAATTGACAGCTAAGAAATTAAAATAAATAGTAGCGATTAGAGAATGAAATATTTTTGGTGTTTTAATCAATTAAGGGGAAAGCCTAGGGATGTAAACTTCACCTAAGTGTAAAACTAATGGGTATAGTAAATTAATGTTTGCTTAGTAGATCGGGGTATGTTATGATTGTCAATTCTCAAGTACCTACTCAATACATCTCAGTCAAAGAGTAATTATGCCCAAATTGGCCTTCTCAAGACCAAATGGGTAGTATTCTAAGCAATTTATATGCTTCCAAGTGGGATTATCCCTATCTCTAGTTCAAATCCTTTAATCAAACTAGTCAAAACCTTAACTAGCTCAATTTCTTGTTAGCCAAGTTTTTCTTGACTAGGTTCCTCTTTCTCAAGTAAGAACTAAGTCAAATAGGCATGAATCAATATTTGCAACCATTAATTATAGATATAAAATATAAATAAGGCTAAATAATAAGCACTCAATCATTAATAAGTATTAATATTAATAACCCATAAGTTTTACACACTAGGGTTGGGTTATAACCCTAGATAAAATCTAGCTCCTCATGCTTGAAAACATAAAAAATGAAAGAGTAGTAGTAATTGAAGACATAAAACTAAAATTAAAAGATAAAAGCAGTGAGTCTTCTCTAGTTTTGATCACCAATTTCCCAAAATAATAAACTCTAACCGCTACAACTGCTAAAAATATAAAAGTGTTTCTCGTCTATTTATAGTGTCCAAAAATTTGCCGACAACGCCCTTCGGGAGGTTCTGCGGTCGCACAATTTGGTGTGAGAACCACACTTTATTCTTTTGCTCTTGTAATGGGAGAGATTTTGCGGCTGCATAACGATCTCTGCGGCCGCACTTCAACTTCTGTGGCCGCATATTTGGCTGTGGACCGCGTTCTAATGAGGCTTCACATTTGATCTTTTGTAGCTACTTTGAACTTTCCAAGCTTGTCAATGAGAACTATTTTAGCGGTCGCACAATCTGGTGTGCGGACCGCACTTCTGCTAAACTCCTCTAAGGCTTCAAGGTGTTTGTGGCCTCACCTGTATTGCTGCGGCTTGCATCTTCATCTACGGCTGTAGAATAAGTTTTGGGGACCGCACAATCCTCTACATTTGCTCCTTTTGACCTGTTGAGCTGGAACACTCCTCTTTTATTTAAATTTTTTTTATTAAGCTTGAATCCTCCAACATTCCTGCAATTTACACAATTTTATTAGATTTATAAATAAAAATCACTACTTTAGGACTAAAAACTAAAGCAAGAAGATACTAATAAGTGGTTAAAACTCATTCTTATCAACTCCCCTAAAAATAAGTTTTTGCTTGTCCTCAAGCAAATAGATTAGTTTTCACCTCCCTTAAAATGAAGGTTCATTTCAAAGAGTCAATGGTAGGTCATTCATATTCAGTTGGGACCAATAATTATCCACAAAACTCATGCACTTTCAACAAGATGACAAAATTTTCAAATACATGTGACTTGTATACAATTCTGGTGTGACATTTGAGCTTCAAGAATTGGTTTCACTCATCAAGGATTCTTGTTCTTTCATGTTAGTCATGGAGGACTCCAAACTCTTCCTCCTCTATCTTCCATTTGTCATGTTCACTTCAAGATTTCACACTTAATTTCTAGAGAAATAAATGATTCACTCTCCTTTCACAAAGAAACGTCACAAGTAAAGCTTCAATTAACATAGGCGTGCCCTCATGTAGATCTCTACTAATGTAAGGTCACTTGGTTCAAAATCAAGTAGGACTTATTTGGGGTTGTAATGAAGGTTTTTGGGTTGGGGTAAGATACCATATGGGATAAATGATTAAATCCTTCCTTAAGCACTCCACTTTTCATTTATTGGCTCACATTTGCCCAAATCCTTAGAGGCATTTCTTTTTCTTGGGGGCTAGAGAGACTTTCCATCATTCTTTATTATTTATTTTATTATTTTTCTCCCTTGATGCTCATACTAGAGATCATTGCTTCTCTTCAATTTCATCAATCTCTTATTTATTTTTTTGTATTTTTTTTGTTCTTTCTTTTCTTGCTTTCTCTTTACATGGAGAGCATTTCTTTTCTCTCTTTTCAGTACCTTTATAACTCTTTTAGATTCCTCAACTTTTCTCCCACACTTAGGCTTTGAGCCACTTATTACATATGAGTGTTAAATAAAGTTCGAGTGCCAAGAGAGGATTATGATCAAAATGGATAAAGGCTTGTAGCATGATTACCAACAGAGAAAGGATAAAGGCCCAAAGTGGTTGACTAGGGATAACGATCATAGGGTGGCGTAGAAAGCTCAAATGGTCCAAGGAAAGCCTACACTCATTTTTTAAACCAAGCAAACCTAGAATTTTGCCTTGAAACACATTTGGGGCAAATTCTAGACTATTCACTCAAGTACTTGGACTAGTAACAAGAAGTCACCTCACCTCTCATGCAACTACACCGTAAAAGAGGATAGAGTCTAAAGTCCAAAATGGTCACAATCAAGTTAAAGATCACTATGGTCCATCCAACCACCTAATGATTATCAAAGTCAACTCAAGAACCTCAAAGTCACTAAACTAGAGCTATTTTCTTCTAAAAACCTTGTTTCAAACCATAAGCATGTAGTTAATTATGTTGGTGCTACGTGAAGCATAAATTACTTTTATAGAGAATAACTTAGTTAGGTTTTTATTCTTTAATATTTACTGCTACTATTACCTAAACATGCAATTGACTCATTCCCTTAAGAAAGTTGTCACACTATCCATCCTCGGAAAGAGTCACCCAGTTCACACAAAAGATTACTTTTGGAAAGAACCATGGTATTAAGAAAATCAAAGGCTTATTAATAATACTAATATGAAAAACATAAAAGCTACCAAAACAAACACATTAAAGATAAACAACAAAAGATGCTAATAAATGTAACAACTACAAAAGATGACAAAAAAATAAAATCATCTAATTATTATATTCCAAAGTTGTCAATAGTACCAAATCAT